ATCCCCCCTGGGGGGTGATTTCTCGCTTTCTGTCTCTATGTCTCTCTCTGTCTGTCTGGCGAGCGCATGCGCCCTACAGTGAAAATCTCTCCAAAAAAAAAAAAAAGAATGCCTGCCTGGGTGGTTCAGTGTGCAACTTACACAACTACCTGCAGCCACTCCGTAAGGGTCACAGACGTTTTGGAATTCTGATAAAACTATGCCCATTTCTGAAAGGGAAAATTCACACACACACGCCACACTGCTGCTTAAAATGTTAGATACGCTTAGACATGCCCCCGGCAGAGATCAGGAGCCCCACTGTGACCGAATGCATGAAGGGGCAGCTCTCACACCTTCTCGAGTACTTCCAGATCACACCCTGAGACGGCGTTCTTCCCTAAGCACGTCTGAAACCTGCCTCTTCATAACCGCGATCCATTAAAGCTGAGGTCCTTCCTTCCCACGTCACACTTGAGCTGCCGAAGGCAAGCTAACCTGCACCCTCTGAAGACTTCCGCTTTCCGAGCGAAATATACTTTCGACTTCACTTATTGCAAGCACGCGGTATTGTCTCTGCTGTTTGAAATGAGTTTTTAAGCTGCCCATCCTTCTACTGAGCACTTCCTGCCTATATAAGCAATGAGACAGGCTGATACATTATCAAAGAACAAGAAGGCATTTCTCTCAAAGAACAAGAAGGCATTTCTCTCACTTGCCCCTTTGGGGAACCCCTGAAGATCTCCACTCTCGCTTTCAAAACCAATGCCCACAGAAGTCAGGAAGTGCCAGGTTGGAGGAAAGGTTTTTTGTTTTTTTTTTTTCCAGGGAGGGGGGCAAAGCTGCCTGAGCGTAACTGGAACAGAGCCCCCACCGGTCCACGGGGACAAGTTCTTCTCCACTTACTCCCAAAACTCCATGACGGGGGAGGTGGCATTCTGCAGGGACACATGGCTGTAGTTGCTCGCATTCAGTTTCTGGAACTCCACACAATGCTCTGAAGTGGGAAGAAGACAAGAAATACGAGAACATTAACCTCCACGAGGGCTGGATCTTGGGCAACAGTTGGGCAGATGTGTAAGCAGGCAGTTTCATCGAGCCGCTCGGAGTAAACATTCCTGAGCGAACACCCCGAGGAAGATCAATACGCTGCAAACAGAGGGGCTTGCTCTCGTTCGAACAGCCAGGGGTAGGGGCGGGAGGTCTGCTCTCTGGCATTCCCGCCCTTTGCCCCATCAAACTCTTTCCTCCAGCTTTGTTCCCAAGTCTCTTCTTTCTTCTGTTCCCTGCTTAAGGCCTGTCTGTGACATGTACCTGTCCCGCTCAGTGGTCCCAGCTAGAATAGAGGGAATAAAGCAATGGTCAGCCGTAGTGGCTTGAGGGGTGGTTTCTCGCTTCCCCTCTCTCTATCTCTCTCTGTCTCTCTCAGGTGAGTGCACACGCCCTACAGCAAAACAAACAAACAAACAAAAAAAAAACCAAAAACCTTTTAATAAAAAGAGGATGGCCAAGACCGCAGGTGCCTGATAAAAACACGATGAGTGGATGAGACGGTATGTGTAAAGTATCTCTTGATTGGGACCAGCAGTTGGCGTAATGGCTGTGTCACTGAACTCTCATGTAGTCGACCGTGGTTCGAGTCCCAGACCCGGTGGCTTAAACTCACACCAGGTGCATGTGCATGCGTGCCCAAGATCCCAAGAGGAGAATGGAGAAGGGATTGTGGCATGGCCATCCCCCCTGGGGGGTGATTTCTCGCTTTCTGTCTCTCTGTCTCTCTCTGTCTTTCTGGCAAGCGCATGCACCCTATAGCAAAACCCTCTCCAAAAAAAGGAAAAAAATAGAATTTCTTTTAGTCAGAAAGGGTTTAAGGGTTTACTGAATCCCTCTTCTCATGTCATGAAACATGATGACCCAAGGAGATTTGAACCCTAAGCCAAAGCCTCTGAGTATTCATCCTTTGAGGTCCAGAGCAGCCTTTTAATCCTTCCTCCAGGAAGCCCACACCAATCTCCATCCTTCAAATCATAAGCAATCAAGAATCCAAAGGCCCTGGGACCAACAGTTAGCGTAATGGCTATGTCGCTAGACTCCCACGTAGTCGACCGCGGTTCGAGTCCTGGACCCGGTGGCTTAAAACTCACGCCGGGCACGTGTGTGTGCGTGCCCAAGATCTGAGAGGAGAATGGAGGAGAAGGGATTGCGGCGTGGCCATACCCCCTGGGGGGGTGATTTCTCACTTTCTGTCTCTCTGTCTCTGTCTGGCGAGCGCACGCGCCCTATAGCAAAAACCTCTCCAAAAAAAAAGAATCCAAAGGCCCTCTCAGGAGTCGCCTTCTCCAACACCCTTTATTTTGAAAACACAGAAACTTAGGTTCAGAAATAGTCAAAACACCCCAACCCGCACCCTCTCCCACCTCTAGAAAGTCACCAGCCAGTTAGGAACAGCACCGAGAGTCGACTCCTCCACCATGATCATTGCTTGGCCCTGTCTGCCAACATGATGGGACCCATGACTCCCTACAGTGCCCTGAGGGCAGAGCCACCTGGGCCCCTGGACCGCGGGCTCCCCGGGCAGGGCTCCCTGCACTGCCCTCCCCTGCACCCAGCAATGGGGTGCCACAGAGCCTGGGTCTAACTTCACACTGACACTTCTTCCCCCTCACAGATGTAGGAACCCCCTAAATGACATCGGTGACCTCTGCAGGCAGGAACCTCCTCCTGTATGGGATGTTTGGAACATTGCAAGTATTCTCACCCCTTAAAGGAAGGGGATTGCAAACCGGTGGAAGAAAGAGGTTTACAGGCCACGAAGGAAAATTCCGATATCTGCTATATCTGCTTCCTTCCCACCCGTCTTGGCAAGAGCTCAGTACACAGAGGAAGAGGTCTGGGGGTTCACGGGCAGGGCTTCAGAGGAGTCTGGGAACCAGAAATTAACACAAAATGTCTGGATGTGACCTGTGCTTTTTCTTCTAGGAAGAGGAGCTCTTGCTTTGATCAGATTCTCTAAAATGGTGGTTCTCATTACGTTTTTCCTAGAATAAAAACATTTTGTAGACACCCAAGGTTGACAAGTTATTTTCATTGAAATGATATTTAGGGCTCGCCCCATAGCACTGCACTTAAGCACCCTGCTGAGAAACTCAGACCTCACATGGTCAGTAAGGGTTCAAATCCCAGCCCCAGTAGTTTGAAACACATTCTGGGGAACAGCAGATGGCGCAATGGTTATGTTGTTGGACTCTCACATAGCTGACCACAGTTTCAGTCCTGGACCCAGAGGCTTGAAACATGGTGGGCACGTGTGCACATGTGCTCCAAATTCCAAGAAGAGAAGAAAAGAAAAGAAAAGAAAAGAAAAGAAAAGAAAAGAAAAGAAAAGAAAAGAAAAGAAAAGAAAAGAAAAGAAAAGAAGAAAAGAAAAACCTTTTGGGCATATACACATGTGCCCAGGCTGTTGACATCCTGACATAGAATTGGAGGGAAAAGGCTTACACCATGACCTGACCCCACTGAGAAAACGTTCTCCCTCTCCTTCTTGCTCTATCATGCTTGCATATGATGGCATTAATAAATAAAGATGTGGCCTCTAGTACAAATGAATAAATAAATACGATATTTAATCATGAACAGATAAACACTGAGTCATAAAGTCTTTGTGGTGATCGTAGTCGTACAACTCTACATGCAAAAGTAAACTTGCAAATGAAATACCAACAAAACTACAAACACAGCACAATTTCAAGTGATAACATGAAATGAACATGTAGGATAATGCCATTTGGTAAAAATTAAACTGCTTTCCCAACAGCAAAATGGAACTGACGGGCAGGAGGCCGGGTCTGTGGAGTTCAGCTGGCTTATTCTTCCACAGGCTGTTTGAGACCCAATTCCCTCATCGCTTCTTCCCCTCTGGTGGCGTTAAGGCAAAATCTTCATTCCTACAGTTTGGTGCACCCTCGATGGGACTTCACTGAGTACCAATGCCCCATTTGTGAATGAAATCTCTGTTCTCTTTC